TGCTCGCTTACGTCGTTACGTATATGGCAGCAATATATCGAAAAATATGGTGAAACCTTAGCCGAAGCACTTGATTTCTCCAAAGCACTCGATCGAGTCTGGCTCTTCGCCAAGCTTCCATCTCATGGCTTGCCTCCCCAGCTATGTTCTCTGCTAGCTAGTTCTTTCTCAAACAGGTATCTCCATCTATTGGTCGGCGGAGTTTCATCTGACTCTCTTATCATAAATGCTGGTGTTCCGCAAGCATCAATTCTAGCACCAACACTATTTCTACTTCATATCAACGATTTGTTGGAAGCAACTTCATGTCCAGTACACAGCTTCGCGGATGATAGTGCCCTCCATACCGCCTTCTCTTCCAGGGCTCCAATACCAGCCAGGCAAATCAGAAACAAACGAGGAAGAAATCTCTACTTTATAGTTTTTTCATGGAAGATGCTCTTTTGAAATATCAATAATTGTTCCTCCCTTTGCAGTTTCCGCGAGATGAACCCGTCGAGTTGGGGCTCCGAACCCCTTCGTGGTCACTTTGGGGTCCTGCAGAACATCTTTTTCCAAAGACTTGTTCGAACAGCGAGGCTCTGGAACACATTTCCAAGGGAGGTGTTCCCCAAGGCATAATAGAACCTCCAGAAATTCAAGAAGAACACAAATTTCTACCTTATTTCCTTTGGTTCTCATGATGTTCTCTGAACATTACAGAATATTCTTTTTCGTGAAAACCAGATCATAAAAAAAATACTATTCTGCAAGCTGTCATGGACAAGGATGTCATAATATTTCCTTTATTTTTATATTCAGGGATAGGTAGCACACAGCACTGAACTTCAGAAAAAATCTTCATAGGCACTGAATTTCAATGTGTGTCGAAAAATTCCAGACCAGATGATGATTTTCAAACTTATTTATTTTGTTGTGTCGAAACTATTCGTTATCGTTCAAAACCTATTTTATGTCTGCATCTCAACTTTCAATCCACTATCTACTGACATTTCATTGGAACAGATAGAGGGTGATCAGAATTCTGAATTTCGAATCACCCTAGTGACAATATAAACTTCTTAGTCACTTCTATTTCTTGAGACACTCTATACCTGGTATTTCTCAAAAGTGGCTCACCCTAATAACTTTTTTGTTTAGACAGATAAACAAATGTTCTTCGGGATCTGAGTGAAGTACATAAACATGCATCAATTGTCGTATTCTAGCGTTTCCTGTCACTTCCGGTTCGACCAGAAATAACCCTAATTTTCTCATTCTGAAAGAGACACCTGGTATATTTTTCCCAAGCAGCACAAAGAGGTACTGAAGAAAACGGTTACATGCTCTGTTTTTTGGTAAGAGTACTGTTTTCCTGTTTTTTCGCTCAGTCGAAGGCATCTGATAATTTTTACCAGAAAGAATAAAAGGAGAGAAAATGTTTTCAAAAAATCATGACCTGCCCTCTAAAAACACCCATTATAGTAATATCAGGAATGTGGATGAGTGTCAGGGGAATGTATTTAATCAACATACATTCATAATGTAGGAAATTTCAATCTGGTGGTTTTTCACCCAGTGTGCTTTTTAGGACTTTAGTTTATCGATCAAACTATACTTATTTTTCAATGTAGTATACCACCTCCAGAACGCTCGGTACACTTTTTTCGACTCACCTGTATACATGTTCGGATATGGTACAAATATCGAAAGAGATGTCATGCAAAAAATACTGATAATGATATATACACCATCTCATTCAGCATTATACTATAAGTGAATGCAAATAATTTCTCAGATTTTATATTACCTAAATTCTAACGAATATTCATTGAATGATAACGTAGCTATGTTTTAGTTATACCTCATTTCAAAAATACGTCTGCGGTCAACTTCAATCAGTAATATACGAATAAAAACGCTAGTAATTGAGAATAGGTTCGCACAAAAATATGAACAGGCAGAAACATCAGAACTGTAACACCAAGTATAATTAGGCAATAAGCTTGTCATTAAAGCACCAGCTGTTCGGAGCAGCACAATTGCACTGTTTTCGAAATTTAATAGCTATCCTTAAAAATGTTTCTCGAGCCTCATTACCATTCAGGTTCAGTTCAAGAAGTTTAGCATGATATTTTGGAGTATTCGAGTATATTTCGCACTTGACTTACTTCGTACTATATTAATTATTGCTTCTCTTGGTATTCGTATCCACGAGAAAGGAAATTTATTTCGTTCTGTTCTAGGACCAGAACGAAATTGTAATTACTCGTTCAGAAGAATCGGAAAGAATTATATGAAAATGCAAATAATCTCATTTTCCTCTCATTCCAGTGTATGAATAAAATGATTATAATAACATCATGCTTCCTTCCTTGATGACTATTTGGCACTCTTTCAAATCTTCTCAACAGGATATATATCTCACCAAAATGAGTTGTTTGACAAATAATTGCTGATATAACATATTCAAGATAACGGAGGTACATGTATTTGGAGGTTTGGAGAAGATTTCAACTACGAAACATTTTGTTTACATTTTCACAAAAAAATACAAAAGAATCATTATCAGTCCAGCATTAGATACCGTACAGTTGCATTATTGCATCAGATAAATGATTCACATTTTCAAAATAATAATTTTCGTTTTGAAGTGATTTTTCATCATATTTTCTCTAATAAATGTTAGACTGATGAAATCCGGTTTCAAATGTACAAAACCTTGCAATGCCTGTACCTTCGTTGTCGTATATTTTTTACATAAACAATTTCAGGCCAAACAAATTATTTTAGCGAGGTAAATATTCTGTTGAATGAAAAACCTCACTTTCAGATTCACCCTCTGTATAGATGTGCGCTTGATTTCGATAACAATAAAACATTCACACATGCAGAAGAATAGATAATAAGAGATAGATACTCATCACTACATGAGAAGTACTTCAGTTATGTATCATTAAGTATAGGATAGGAACATGTCAAAGAACGTATTAATCATAGTTGATTTCGAAGCAGTAAATTATAAAGAATATACGCTAGCAATATTTTATTCTACAAGAATCATCACTAAAAGATGTTATCATTATCGATGTATCTATACTATAGTTTCTCAATGTACCTACTTGACACTGCGGTTCTGACGTTTTTGAATATTCAGAGTAAGGACACTCGACAAGCGGTGACAGAACCAAGAACTATTCTGATACTGATGGAAAAAAGGAGAGAATCATATGATTTGTTAGACAATGAGAAGAATGTTTTCACGCCGGCGGAAGTAGAAGTCAGTTACTCTGGTATCAAAAGAGGGGCAGAAATCTCGTATTTCTCCCTGTAGGGAGATATAATGTGACATAATTTCTCCCTAGGGAGTTTAAACCAACTTTACATTTTCCGCATAGCTCTGCGCTTCCTTTTCGGAACACCCTTCTCTGAAGCGAATATAAGCTGCATCATACAGATTTCTAGATCTCACTTGTAGCAATTTGAGAATCACCGCAGAAGCATTATCAATAGTTTCTTGGGGTTTTCCCTCGATTTCTTGTTCCATAACCGTTGACCATTTTAAAGCTGTTTTCATAAATTTCCGTTTGATATTTGCTGTCGCTATGGGTTGTCAACAAGATGCATGTTGTCAAAATACGAATTCCACGAACTATACTACTACTGATTATGACACTCAAAAGTTTGACCAAATTTTTATTCTTTCCCAATTTTTGCGTTTTCACCAGCGTATAAAATAGTATATGCACTTCAGGACAGAATGCTATTTTTGCCTCGGTGCTTTGTATATCTCGGGCTTTGCCCTCACTCGATGTACAATGAACTATGTTCGCTTAGATAAAGGCTTCTCACACCCACCTTTCTCTACATGTTTAGGAAGGAGTACATCTATAGTATATTTTTTGTCTTTTATTCTCGAATGGCAGTGCATAGCGACTCCTGGAGTAGATAAAAGGGTACGATGAATTGATTGGAAAATTATTTCTTTTTGAAATATAAAAAGATAGGGCTAGGGAACCTCGATGGCCAGTGGGTATATATGTACATAAGTATATACCAACAAAGTACATAATCATACTATCGCAATGAAATGATAATAAACTGAGGATGGAGTATCTATAAGGTCAGTGGTTCAGTGGAATCATTTTCCAGATGAAACATTTTTGCTTCAACAAGAGTAGTAGGTAAAGGTATAATGATCATTTAAGATAAACAAATGATATGGCAATAATATCAGGATAATATATAGGTACATAATGATATGACGAAATAGTATGAATGGTTTGTGATACTTCAGAATATGGCGACAATAAATGGTTGTGGAGTGTTCTTGTTGAGTCAGCATATCATGACACCCCATAAGTTTCTCGAAATCCACTATATATGAGCTGTTGTAGAGGTGCACTTTCCACCTACGCAGCAGCTCATACTTGGGATTTCAGCTTCGTAGGAAGTTAAAAAGTGCAAGAACTTGCATCTTATGTTCCCATTTTTCTCAATCTGACAAATGTTTGAAATTGTGTACTGTCATTACCCTCTTATTCCATAAATTTTTTCATGGTTATGTTAGACTGTCAGTGCTTGTCACAGTGTTCGAATTCTAAATGTACAATAACGTCGAAACAGCAGTGTCGAGTACATTGAATACATTGAGTACATGTCTAACTTTCAATCTTTGCCAGGAGTTGAGATGTGTTTCCGTAGTTTTCAATATGTCTCATTGACTTCAATTTACACACTTCGTTCAACATTTTTTGTGCCAATTCGACACGAGTAATTATTGTGACATATTGCTCAGATAGAATATTTTATATAGTTACAGAGCTTCCGAATGGGGTTTGATGATCATATTTCTGTGATGATCATCACAGTCACTTCATCAAATTTCCTATAATCGAAAATAGAATATCTCTGTACTGAATATTGTAGCTATTGACACTTATATTTCAGTTGATTTGTGTGCATGTTGAATAATTATCCGTCAACAAAACACGGTACTAATCGATTTCATTTCTATACAGGTTTATACCAGATGAATGGGGATCTTGCAGCGTCTCCTGTGGCGAAGGAATCCGGAAACGGGAAGTCCACTGCAAGATATTCCTCGAGTTTTCCAGAACAATTGCAAAACTCCCAGATAAACAATGCACGGGTCCAAAACCCATTCAAATTGAAACATGTTTCAAGGAACCATGTGCCTCAGAGAGAATTGGCGTAGACATCAAGGACGACCCATACAGTAGATCTGATATAAAGGTTGTCCCAGGATCTCCAGCGAAATCTTATTCTTGGAAAGAACAAGGTTTCACCCATTGCAGCGCCACCTGCCTAGGCGGCACCCAAGAACTGATAGTTAACTGTGTTAGAGATGATACTCAGAAAGTAACATCACCCTATATGTGTCCTATAGAGCTCAAGCCTGAAATACGAGTACAAACTTGCAATGATCACCCTTGCCCTCCTAGGTGGAACTATTCTGAGTTTTCCCCTTGCTCACAGAGCTGTGGAATTGGTATACAAACCAGAGAAGTCAACTGTATTCACGAAGTGACTCAAGGAGGAGGTAATACTATAATAGTACCAAATAATATGTGTCCCCAACCACCACCACCTGATAGGCAATACTGCAATGTATTGGATTGCCCAGTACGATGGAAAGTCAACGAGTGGTCAAGGTGCTCGCAAAGTTGTGGAGGAGGCATGAAAACGAGAAAAGTTGAATGCAAGCAGGTGATGGCGCAGAATCATACTGTAGACAGACCACCAACCATGTGCCCAACACCAAAACCGTCTGATTCAAAACCCTGCAATACCAAGAGTTGCGTAGTCGAAAGCGACAAACCACACATAGATGTCTCCAATAGCACTTTCATCCAACATGATCCCAAAAAGAAGAAGATATCTTTGAAAGTTGGAGGCGCAGCAACCGTATTCTTAGGCACTACAATTAAAATTAAATGTCCTGTTAAGAGGTTTGATAGAACAAAAATTCAGTGGAAAAAAGATAAGAGCTATCTTCCTACTATCAAAAAATTCAAAACATCAAAAAAAGGAGCACTAAGGGTGTCTAGTCTCACTCTCAGCGATAGTGGTATGTATACTTGCGTAGCAGGTAGATCAGAAGCTAGTATTCATATCTCAGTACGACCAAAGCCAGGCGAGTTCCCAACTTCTGAAGAGATCCAGAGACAAGGTTTTAAAGCAGATAAGATTGAACTCATTGCAGATGTCCATTCTGATAGGGACAGTGGCACTATTTTCAGTGATGATCATTCCCATGAACAGAGGCCATCCAAATCTAGGAAGAGACCTACCTCCAAACCTGGACTGTTTTCCTCGCAGACATTGCCCTCTCTGGTGTTGGATTCAAATTATAATGGCCAATTCCAGAGTACCTCTTATAAAGAAGATCAGGTGAGTTTTAGTTTCAACGATCTATGAGCATTATATCCTTCATCTAACTATGTTCATCTTTGAATGCTGCACTGAAGGATGGAACTGCGCATTTGCCATCAAGTTCTTCTGAGTACTTGAATCCTCCTTCATATGGGGATACGACAAGTTCTGCGAGTCGTGCTATGCCAAATTTTCAAAAACTGATTTCAAATCTGCAGGTTAGAAGTTTACCGAACGTTGATATTATATGTATAAGTGTATATTGAATGTGGCCTCCAAGTTTCAAAACTGATGGAAGTTTCGTATCGTCCTACCTCACAAAGCCAGTTTAGAGAAGTGAATTGTGTTATATCTGGTGATGTAATTTTTATCGTGTTATCCAAAATTCTGTTTTCAAATGCGGCATTTCTGTAGTATGAAGGAAACTTCGGACTGACTAACGAAATATTGTGCCTATGACATCCTCGATACAATTCATTGAAATCATCAGTATTTTCAATGAAGATTAAAAAAAATATATTGCACGTTACACGTTAGGAAATGTAACTTTTGTCACACAGAACAAAGTAATTTCTAACTGGCTATGTGAATATCTAATATGAAAATAATAAGAACCTATCCTGATATTGTGTCTAGCAATCCATCAAAATATTTCTCATAGATTATGATAGAGATACAGTATAATTCGACCAATTTTCATCTATATCAAATGAATGGTGATAAATCGAATTCAATCTCTATATTTCAATCCTTCTGAGTGTCAGTCACAACCCAATGGGAATTTGAAATGACTTATACGATCTGCTATCGAGGGTGTCCCCTTGAGAAACGGAAAAATATACCATATTTGTAGTGTCTTTAACATTCCATAGAGGAGCTTTTGAACCAATGTGACAGTTTCAAAGTTCCATCGGACCAAAGAGGAAAAATTGTTGGATATGGAATATTAGTATTTTTGTCAAAACACCATGAATACACTCACCATTATCATTCCATCAATCCTGACAATAACTGAGACACTCAGATCTACATTACATAAGCGAATTCAGATTCAGATTTGGAAAAATAGATTGAATTCAAGAAAGGAAGTGATTATAACTGTCGAGTTACCGAGATTGTTGTCCTGTACATGGTTTTGCATCAACAGCTCGACTGAGAATGATTGAACATGTCTACTAGCGTCTAGAGACAGGACAGCTCACGAGACGGCCGTTGGAGCGAAGGAGTGAAACAATATTTATCATTACCTCTTGGTGGGTATGTGAATAGCCAATACAAAATGCCCTTAATTGAGGTCGAATTTTCTTACAAGAGGAGGAGGGTATAGTTGCTTGACATAGAGCATTGGCCACAGCTTACTTACTGTGATTGAACTGTTTTCAGAATATGTACCCTTTTATAGTTTGATCTCCGTGCATTTCACACATATAAGAATGAATTCAGACTGTTGTTCAGAATGTACTGAAAGCTTGAGCCATTTTCGAAATATCAGAAGGCATCGTCCGAAGTTTCATCTAACTACGATTGCCCTATCTTGAAAAAGTGGATAGGTGTATCAGTTTTCTTGTGATAGATGCTGATGGAAGTTCAACATTGAGAAAAACGGTCAGGTTCATAAAACGCAATGTTTCAATCTACGCCCTGCAAATACTGCGGTGAAATTATCATGAGAGTTTTTTTTAGATGGAAAATGACTTGAATGTCTCTTTGGTGTATTATCCTGTACATGCGTATATATTATAAGTAGGTATAGGAAAGTATAGTTGTATTTTGTTACTTTTCATAACAAATAATCGCGCGTCGCTATATAAGTGATCTGTGCCCGCGCTTGGCGTGGTTTCGTCACTATAATGACTACATATTCATTTCCTCCTGTCTCTAGATGCTAGTAACATGTCTTTGGGAGACAAGATGTCTGACAAATACTTATTGGAGACACAAATCATCAAAATATCGAATAACAATAAGTAGGTGATGAATAACCCCAAGTAGGTTCGTCATGGAATCTATCCATATATCCTTCGGTCGGTCGACCACAAAAATTATATTAAAAATCAAGTTCATTACTTGTATCGGCTCAACGGGCATCTTCAGACACATAAAATACCTGTAAAGGTTATAGGAAATTACAAATAGACAATGAACTATTGAGGAGAAAAAAATTTCAATAAGACCTGTGGAGATAAGTTTAACTAAGAGCTAGGTCAGAAACTAGAAAATCAGGCAGGTAATCAAGTATCTTCAAATCAACTAAATAGCCAGGAGAACAAATCAATAATGCAATTGCAATGGAAACAATAATCCGAAGAACAAACAATCTGCATTCTCGAACATAAAATAAAACATTTTTTTCTTTATATGGATTGCTCGAAGTGCCGTCCATCTTGCTCCAAACATTTTATTGCTGTTTTCCTAGTGATTTTTGGATCTTATTCTGATTGTATTATTCATTCCTCTGGATGCTCTTTTGATCATTATTTTCTGAATCAGCTTGAATAGTTAAAAATTTTTTGAATGAGAATCTTCCTAGTATTGAAAAATATTATCAGATATATTCAAAACATGATAGAAAATATGTATATATATATATAGGGTGGCATTGAAATAAGTGCAAATATTTCAAATACTGAGAAACCTTGACGTGTACTATCTAATGGTACCAATAAAAAAAATTTAGGGATCGAAATGAAATTTGAGGTTGGGTCCCTTTCAACTCAAAGTTCTACACTGTAGCAAATCTGACGTCACCCCTGTTCAAATGTCCATGCGGTAGGAACAATCATTTAAATTGTTTCAAAGTGGCGTACTTGATTTGATTCTTGAGATGAAATTTCTCGTTAATTAGAAGAATAAAAAAAAACTGATATCATTGGAATATTCATCAGACTGTATCAGATTGATGTGCTGAATATGTGCACTTATTCCAAAAACACCTTGTATATATGAAGAAACAGAAAACAACAAATTTCTTGGTAATATACCACGACGAACATTGTATTATTTCAGTTGGGTTATCTCAAATCTATTGTGCATTCTTCTATGATCACTACAAGGGGGAAGCTAATTCAGTAAATCAAAGGAGCATGCAGATGAATGAAAAACAAACAAGATGTGATCTGTAAATATTCAAGGAAGATCAATTTCTATAAGTATATACAGTGTGTCTCATTCCTAATGGAAACACCCCTCTGTATCTGAAATAATCGTTGAAAAAGAATCCTGAAATTTGATGGAGCGAGAGATATATTAAAAATGCACTCAATGATCAAGCGGAATGAACTTCAGTGATTTACACTGCTCGCCAACAACCATGGAACCATGTCAATTTCCCGGAAAATGATATTAAGAGTCAAAATAGGTTGAAAATCACTTTGGATTCGGAATCAGGACGCCCAATTCAATGATTATCCTTATTTTCCTGAAAATTTATTAGTTCTGATTAGTTCACTTTTGTCTCACTTCTCATGGAAACAACTCCGAATCAAGAGACAATATAGGTTGAAAATCACTTCGGATTCGAAAACAACACGTCCAATTCACTCACTTTCCATATTTTGAGGCATTCATATCGGTAAATTCATTCTTTCTTCATTCATTCATTTCAATGACACCCGTCATGATTTCTGATCCATTAGATCACTGATGATAATCCATTTGTTTGTACTAGTTCTGATTATAATTTCATTACTCCTGATGAGGCCTGACTTCATATGATTATCAATTTCAGAACTACCATTGAATGATAATCTATTCGATTGTGCTAGTTCTGATTATAATTTCATTACTCCTAATAGGAACTGACCGCATGCTTATCAATTTCAAAACAACCACTGAGTATGAATTTTCCGATCTGATGAATTTTTCCTCCTGGAATATCTGTGGTTCTGTGGCTACTGGCCAGCAGTGTATCATTGAAGATTATCCTTCTTGTTTATTGGTCTGTTTTTTGTTTCTGGAACTTTCAGACACCTACATCAATAATTAGGTACTTAAGATACTAGGGAACTTCCATGAAAAGTTGTGGCAGAATTTATCATTTCAGAAATGTGAATTTTCCAGAAGGTATAGAAGTAGTTAGTGCCAAATGGCAAATGAAAAATGGAAAATAAAAATTGAAAACTGAAGATGAAAAAGATTTTTAGTGATAATATTATGAAAGTTTCCGTTGTCACGCGAAATAAGGGGATTTCATCATCTTCATCATTATGTGTACTTTTTCGGTCGAGTAATCGACAAATGTTATGATTCACTCCTATGGAAAAACGAGTACCTAACTGCCAAATTTGAACTGAACCCAAAAAAACCATACACCAAAGATTCGCGGGAGACAGGGCTTCGAAATGATTTATTGAAAGTTTTAAGGTTTAATTTTTAATTCTGAAATTGTTCGTTTGTTACAAATGATTCTTCGCAAATAGGAATGAATCAGACTCAACACAATTTCTGAGAAACATTGAGTCCTTCGTTTCGAGAGGGTTTTAGTTGGTAGATCCTGTATAATGAGGTTGAGTAATTTCGTAAAGGATAGAGGCATGAAGCTTCTTGCATGATGTATATGTAGAATTCGTTATGTTCTAATGTTTTTTCTTATTCCACACCTGCACACACCTGACTGCACTCTACCACACTTTTTTAGGTAATCATCTCCCAAATTGCATATATCTACAAATTTGCCTAATGATTAATCATTTTATATAGGTACCTCATTCGAGAATCTATTCTGTATAGTTATATATTATAAACCTACCTACTCATTTTTTCTTACCGAAATGAATATATGGCTACCTCAAATTCTTGTTTGAATAAGAGTATCGATGAACTCAATATATCGCATCAGTTTATTTTATTTGTACCTACTCATTCACTTCTATTGTTCGACTTATTTTCGTGAGGGCTGAAAGCTACTTCGAGAAAGTATGTACTCCTACCAAAGATAGATCAGTTCAGATAATCTCTTATCTAGTAATGCTATTTATTTATTTATTTATTATGAGAAATACTAAAGAATTTCGAAATTATTCATCAGTTACCACTTTATATGAATCATTAGTCAGGCCTATCCTTGAATACTGCTCTACCATTTGGAATCCTGTGTATGACAAATATGTGATACAAATTGAACATGTTCAAAAAAAATTGGTCAACAATTTGAACTATAGATTCTTCCGCTTCCGTCACTATAATGGGCTATGAGAGCAACTTGCGTTTCTATAGAATAGAGAATGTTTTCATTAGAAGAGACTTCATTGACATATTATTCATTTACAAGATCTTCAACAATCATATTGATTCAACAGCATGCACTGGATTCCTGAGCTTGAATTGTAATCCTAGAATGGTTAGGAATAGACTCACTTTCTACCCACCTTCGTTCTCAACTAATTATTATAGTAATTCACCTCTTATATGATGTATGAACTCGTAAAATACAATTTGCCACTCTGATATTGATATATTTCACCTTGATATCAAAAGATTCAAGAAACAACTGAGAGAATTCTTGTTAAATTTTCATAGTATTACTTGAATATAAAAATATAGAAATAGTGCTGGTATTCATTAATTTATGATACTTGAGTCATATCGAAATTGTAATTTTCTAGTGTGTGTCAAAATACTATACCTATGTATATTTCATATATGCTGATATTGTATATACCGACGTTACTGTTCTCTTCTTCATATTGTTATTTTTGAATGAAAGTTATGTAATAGATAGGTACTTAGTTTTTAAATGATAGTATGTAGGTGCAACCCATGTGAAGACAATAATTTTGTATCACTGTGTTATCCTGTCATTGGAAGGACTATTTATATAGTTCCTCTGTTGGATAACCTAGTTTTCTAAATAAATGAATAAATAAATAAATAAATAAATGCTGTTTCAGCTGAATATACGAGGTTTTTGGAATGAGTACATATTACGAATACTCCTCCCATATCTGATTTTTCTCAATTGTTCTAATCAACAAGAATTAGCATCTGGTGAATAGAATGAAAATGGAAGATGAATCAACGCCATTCTGATACTTGATTTCCGCGTGAATATGTCTTCCGCACGGAAATTTATACAGTAGTGACGTCAGAATTGCTACAGTTCAGAACTTTGGCTGGAAAAGGGTTCTCACCCCAAATAATTTTATTTTGATTCCTTTATTTTTATATTGTTGTTATTCGATAGTCAACGTCGAACTGTCTTAGGTTTTGAAATATTTGTATTCATTCCAATTCCAACCTGATGTATAACTGAGTTACTTGTAGGGAGCTTTTCTGTAATATTTCCGATCGAGAAAAGCTACCATCTTTGGAGATTCTCGACAAGCGAATTTCATGCATTTTCATAATCAATCAGCAAATTCTCTATGTTAATTTGGTGTCAAAAATATTCAATTTACAGTAATCGAATAGGGTACCTATATATTGATGTCAAAATGAACTCTGCCAACTACCTTATTAATAAGAAACGTAGCAATTGTGGCCTTTCCAGACATTCAGCAGTTCCAGAGGGCATAGGATGATAGACTACCGCAGCAACAAACACAATAAAAATCCACTTCTGGATGAACCATCAGAAACAACCGAAGAAGAGATACCAGCGGACGAAGATACTCAAGATGAAGATGAGGACAATATTGTAGTTCTTGGCAAGGGAAAGAAGGAAAATCTCATATTCGAATGGGAAATGGGCTCTTGGGCGAAGTGCTCAGAAACTTGTGGTGGAAATGGCATTCAGATGAGAACTTCAAATTGTATTGTGAGGTGAGATCATAATTATTCATAGAATTGTCACAATATCTTTTTAGGAATTTTGAATTGACTCGGTCGTTACTTGATGGAAATACATGGCAAATGTTGAAACTTCACAAACGATAAGATTTTCAAGAAATTCTTAAACACACAAAACATGTTTCGCTAACACATTAGCTTCGTCAGGTGATATACTCTGGTACAATGAACTGAACCAACGTTGGCTTGCTTAACTTTTATATATCCTACTTTTTCAACAAGAAGGATTAGTTACCTGTGGACAAGATCGATGAACCTCCATTTTCGGAAGTTAGGCACAATATTTACATATTTCTAGAAGACGAAGCGAAATCGAGCGAGAGTGTGTCGTATCATATGACAGTCTTCGTTTTGATCAACACTCTTTTCCAATTTTGATAATATCGGACGAAGCATTTCTTGATATGATCAATAGTTCTATGAGAGTTGTTGTTCGATGTTACAACCAACCGCTCTCCCAGTTCACTTCTGAGCAGCTGGATTTTTCCGCTTCCATAGTAGTTTCAATAGCGTCATTCGGATTGTGTTGTCGGGACGCTCATTTTTGAAAGATTTTTTGCAATGAAATGAGGATTGCAATAAGCCTTTCTGGTCAGTTGCTACAAGTTTTCAGAAGCTTTCACTTTATATTAGCGATTTTACGAAATGAAATCCAAATTGGTGAGTTTCGATCTGAGATAAATGTTTTCATTTTTTGAACTTCACTCTCATAAGTGGAATAAATATGACAGATTAGGAGTGTGAGGTGAAAATGCACATTGTAAATCTGTTTTTGTCTGCGAATTGATTCTAGTGGGAATATCATTTGGTTCAAAGTATCACTACGTTTATTTGCTTATGCTGCATACCACTTCAAATATGCGCTGGCAATCAGTGCAAACAATCTGTTTTTGAATTATGTGTTGAAGTTCATTTTTTATTCCTAGTTTTCTACGCAGTTTTTCAATTTTTATGCATCTATGGCTGGGTATTTCATATAATGAAAATGTTGAATGATGAAAATGAATAGGCCATCATTATATGTTCCTATGATGGACGGATAAACCACGAAGGGAATTAGAAAAAAATGCATACTTATCGATAAATTACACAGCTCTATTCAATAAGAAGTCGATTATTTGGTCAATAGTATTGAATGAATTCATAATAGGAAAATAATGAGGCCAATTCCTTAGGGGGTCATCATAGGCAGATTTCCCATATTTGTCATGACACTTTTGCGACCACATCTCCATGATCATCTTCGTCTTGAAAGTCATTGTAGAATATTGAAATGTATCCTAGATGTTAGGAACAGTTATCCATAATAATTCATGATTTTCTCATATTCTAGGTTGTATAATGCCACACAGCGTGTAGACGATATTCTTTGTACTGATGCAGGACTAGAAACTCCAGAAGTAATGAGAAAATGCGGGTTCGACCAGTGTCCAGAATGGACGAATCATAATTGGAGCAGCTGTGAGAAATCAAAGTGCTTTGCTTTACACAAAGGTGATGAAACGATAATATATGAGCTGTTCTTGAAATGAATGCATACAGTGTCATTCATGAAGTCGGCATCATATATGGGAAAAACTTTTATTAATGACTTATTTCGAAATTCGAGTTGGACGTTGAGTTTTGCTTCAAAAAAGATGGAAAATGGCCTACTCAATCGGGGTCACGTGACATTCGCTTCATGTCAAAAGTGCCATTTTTTCAAATTGATCGCTGAAAGTAGGCTTATTTGTTCGAATATCGAAAAAATTCACTTGAAGAAGTTGATTTTATTCCAATTTTACATAATTATGTGACTCGGATTTTATCTTTCTATTACATTTTATAGATTTCGATATTTTGTAAATATTTTCGAAATTTCTATAATATTAAAAAAATTGTATACCAGTAGTTTCATCATGCTACTTACTTTCAATTACTAATTATTACTGATTATCGACAAAAATATGATTTTGTTCAGAAAATGATAATCTCCGCTTCAAAATTCTGTTATCTTTGATGCAAACATAACATCAAAATTCTGTTATGTTTGAGTCAAAGCATTTAGAAACGAAATTCATCTGAATTCATTTCTCCAGTACTGAAAAGATCAGTTCAAATGAATTTCGTTTCTTATTAATGCTTGACGATATATCAACTTTGCATCAAACATAACAGAATTTGGAAGCGGGTATTATATCATTTTCTGAAGTAAATCATATTTCTGTCCATAATCAGTGATTATAAGTAATTGAAATATTACAGAAATTTCGAAAAATTACAAAAAAAAATCAAAATCTAAAAGTTGCAATAGAAAGATCAAATTCGAGAAGCATGTGTTAAATTGAAATTGAAACAACTGTTTCAAGTGAACTTTTTCGATATTCGAACAAATAAACCTATACTTTCAGCGATTAATTTGAAGAAATGTCACTTTTGATATGTAGCGAAAGTCACGTGACCCCGATTGAGTAGGCTATTTTTCATCTTGTTTGAAGCAAAACTTAACGTCCAACTCGAATTCCGAAATAAGTCATTGATAAAGTTTTTCCCATATGATGCCGACATTATGAATGACACTGTAAATTCAGCACATCAATATGATATTTTCTCATTATCCTGACTAACCAGGAATTTCAATTCAAAAAAGAAGCAAGAAATAATCTAGAATGCTTATTTCAGGACAATTTGAAAATTGAATTCCGCCTTTCGCGCAAAAATTTGTAACGAGGTGACAACAGAATCGCCACAGTGTTGAACTTTGATGGAATGAGGAGTTTCATCCCGAATTTTATTTTGATCCCTATCTTTTTCCTAGAGTTTGGGATATTTGTATTCGTCAAATTAGTTATCGTAAGATATTCGATTGAACTCAAGGTTGGTAGAACTGATGATTATCTGTAGGTAGAAAGAAGATCTCGATAAATACGTTTAGGAAATGTGTTAATTCTTGACGTTATTCGATGTGCATTATTTCATCTTGGTTTCATAAAAATATATGTCATCGATGGCAACGACATGTATTAACTTTCCTCCAAGTTTTTGGAAAACAACAGAAATATCGCTCTAATCGGATTATGGTTATCAAAATGTCATTAATGCCCATAAAAGGGATTGTATTGCCTTTCCTGCAAAATTTACTAAGTAATTTCAACAGAATGAAACTATGAATAATATAATAATGAATATATTTTGACATAGTCTATTTCGAACTATGAACAATCCCAAATATAAACTTTAGTAGAAATCCATAGTTCCTCAAAGTAGAGTAAATTAGTACCTATCTGATGAATAATACTCGAAGTAATCTCCACGACATTTTGATAATGTCAACACACCAGCTTACTTGGTCCTTTATATTATTATGTCCATCCTCATGCCCCATCAAGATAGTAATGAATTATGTCCTATAAAGAAAGTGAATGAGAAAAAGGAACCTGAATGAATGAGAGAGTGCTCACATTGGGATGAAGAAAACGTCATTTCAGTTCCTGATATGAAGATTAACAATGATGCCCAGATAGCACAGATATCCTTTGAGGCCCTTCTGAGGCGTACACAATAATGCCCCCAGGACGTCGTGGGCGAGTCTGAGGACGTCCCTTGGTCTTTCTCCGGTTATACCAATATCTATACGTCCTAATAACGTCTCAGGACATCCCTATATGAGGTCTTCTAGGACATGCATACTTATGCTTCTTAATTCATGATAGAGATGTTATCATCAAAAGATCATGAAACTTGTTGTTGTTATCCCCAGTAATCGTTTCATGTAATTCTTTTATTATTTTGTGGAATAGCAATTCGATTAATGCATGATGAATTTAATCAAGGAATACTTTGATAAGATATGATTTTTTAACAATTTATGAGTCATAACTTCATGTTTAATAGTTCTTTTGCTCTTTACTTTTGGCTTGCATGATACGTTGTGACATAAAATATCATGTGAAGACATCCATAGGCACGAATTCCTCTATATCCTCAGGCCATCACTGGAAGAGCTCATCTAGGACAATTATTATGGTGCTGAATCTACGCCTCATGATGTTCTCAGGTTGTTGAAAATAAACAAAGGAATAAGGAATAAGGAATGCTAGGAAATAGAACGTCGTCTCCAGGCGTTTGGCGATACATTAATAAGGATGATCTTGGGCGATTGTGTGCTTTCTGAGTGAGTTTCATTTCACTGCAAGGGAGCCCAAGATACTCCTGAGCATGAAATTATTGAGGAGGGTACCAAACGTATGACCACCATAAAATACACATCGGCCAAAACTTGAATGCAGAGAACGTGCTCATCTTGTTAAGCAAGCGAAGAAATAAATCTCTTGACCAGACAGAAAATAACACGGGAGTATATCCTATGTCACAAGTCAATACAAAAGACGCAGTGACTGAGCACCAGCGAAAACGAGTCCATCAGAAACCTGGTAAAATCGAGGAAAGCAAATATTGTGAGCTCAAAAAACAACTATAAGGTTATATCGAGAATAAAATTACCTACTCAATAATTGGATGATATATGTCGAAGACTGAGGAACGAGAAGAATAATATATCAATTTATTCTACGGCTATAACACGTGACTGATCTTGTTTTACTGTGTTTGATAGATCAATGAGGTACTTTGTATATCCTCAATTTCATTTCCGTATCTGATATCACAATGACTAATGTGTTATTATTTCAAAAAAATCTCATAACCCATGGAATAATAAATCTCAAGCAATGACAGCTCTGTCTTATAGCCCAATCAGCCAAAGTACGCCTTAAAGGCGTCTTTGGGACGTACATGTCGGGACATGAGTACGTCTTAAAGACGTACATATTACGCCCAAGAGACGTCTTTAAGACGTCTTCGAAACGTAAATTTTCCACTAATATGTATATCTTTAAGACGTCTTTTTTAGGTGTTTTTGGTCCATGACCTCAAATTGATCTTTCAAATTACGGAAAAATCACATAGTTTCAGTTGATTTTCACCTGTGCACTGAAGTAAGCAACAAGTGCAGACAAGCAAAAAAAAAAGGGAAATAAACGACTTCATCAAACGGTAGACACAAGCGGTCACCCATTCAAGTACTAACCGCGCTCTTTGTTGCTTGACTTCGATGATTATACCATATTCACATCTACTGTTACTCTGTTTGTTCTATATATTACATAACAAGCTTTTAATTACTTCAACATGTCTTTATTGTGTCTGTTTGTAATCAAGACGTGCAAGTTGAATTTGACTCACTTCAAATCGTCCGATTGATTTGAAATTTGGCAAGTAAATATTATTCCGGTGACAATTCGTTGTGATATTATTATTGAATGGAAAAAACAGAATGGCGGATCCAATATGGCGGACGATTTTCTCATTGATTATGTTCCGATTCGATTCAAAATTCAATATTCAAGATGGTGAATTCAATGTGGCATAATTATGGTTTTTTGATTATGGTCTGATCTGATTCAAAATTGGCATCTGGAGGATTTCGGGATCAGAGATTATAATTCCTTTTGTCGAAAATGGAAAATCCAAGATGTCGGCTTCAAAATGGCGGACGAGTTTTATGATTATAGTCCGATTTTATTCAAAATTGATTACTATGGGACTTTTGGGGTCGGAGAATATGATTTTTTGTGAAAATTCGAGAATCTAACACGAAGGCTCCAAAATGTCGGACGAAATTGTTCTATAAGTCGAATAGATGTACCTACCGGAATGTACGTCTTTAAGACGTCTTTTATACGACATGGGAGGAACGACGTGGATACGACCTAAAATGTACGTCTCAAAGACGTAAATTCGTGTACGTCTTTAAGATGTACATGGATTTACATCTTAAAGACGTACTTTATACGTTCCTGGACGTAAAGACGTAATTAAGTCGTAAAATGTACGTCTTTAAGATGTCTGGTGCTGATTGGGAGATGAGCGTTACAAAACGAAAAAATCGAAAATGCTGCTGTCATCTATTATAGCCGTATAGAAAAATGATAGTGTATAACTTGCACGGAATGCGAATGATTGCAGCATTCGCCTATGGCTCATGCTGCAATCTTCATTCTCGTAGGAAATCACGATCATTCCGTGCTCGTTAAACAATATACTATTTTTTAATATTTCACGAAAATCAGTGGGTGCTTTTTCGACGCCAGTAGTGCATGTTGTCTAAACGAACGAATCCATTTTGACAGCCTAGAATTTTCATATTTACTAAATTCTGAATGATAAAAATGAAACTGATATTAGTTTCTACTCCTTCCAAAGTTTTCGACATATTCAATTCATGAGTAATTTGATTCTCAATTAACTTCATTATAGTTTTTTCATTTCATAATATATGTTCTTCTTTATTTTGAAATACACTCCAAGGGCTCGCATTTGTTGGTGGTGTGAGTGTTGGTAACTCCCTTTATGATTTCGCATTTTGGAGTTTGTTGGGTTTTTCGTACAGTGAATTGGAAGCCATTATTGCTTTTTCTCATATTAGAAAGTAATAGAATCCGAAAGCCGGCTGCGGATTTCGACCGTGATAATTTATGTCCCAAGGGCATGTAAACACATCGTTTTTGCTATTGTAGTGCTAATCACTATCCTGAGCAGAATGATTTAAAAAATCGCACTTCCTTGCGCGGTAATTTGCACTCAATTTCGCGATATGTACAGAAGTATGTCTGGAATGATGACAGCAAATAAATCGCTGTGTCATGGATTTGGCTCGGATTTAGTGGTGGCACATAATATGTAGGATTTTGAGATCTACCATCCAATTGGCATCGGATGACCTACTTCCTATTTTGTCATCAAATCGCAAAATTGATTGCAAATTGCCGCACAGAAAAGTGAGATTTTTTTAGTCATTCTGCTCAGGATACCATACTATATCTATGCTTTCATGGGAAAATCATGTCCGATCCATCGCAAAATCTGCTTCACGAAAACTCGGATTCTTGTCTGAAAATCTACTTCATACATCACGGCTTCTCATGATCTACGAAGCACAGATAGGGTCAGTTTCAGGATACTATTTTCATGTATGGAGTTCAGCACCCCATATTACGCTGACGCTCTTGAATTCCATCAAGAGAGGAGCCATTCGCGTGGTGATTTCACACTCAATAACTCTTGCTTGTCAAGCAAGATCATCTTGCTTAGCAGCGCTGCCGTACGTATCTATTATGGCCGAAACATATGTTCCTACCAAATAAATCGATGTGTTGATCACATTGAAATGTCGTGGAAATTACATTATTAGAGTATGATACTTAGTAGTTGACTCGGTAGTTGATCTCCAATATGATTCACCTGTTTACCTGAAAGACCAACAAAACCATATAAGAAATATAATTATATGGTATAACTCGAGATCACTTTTTTATTTGATAAATGGTTCAACTTGTCGAGTTGATACCTGTTATTACGATAGAACGTATGACAGTAAAATTATAGATATTTCTATTGATCCAAGCACCATGTGTTTTCGCACAATGTCACCAAGCATGATAAAGAACTGAAATCAATATAAGTAAATGATTGTCTGTAGTTTTGGAGAATCAAGACAGAATATTGATTCTCATAATGGGGAAGACCACTGAGGAAAGAAATCCGTGCAAACCTCTTTCAATCGACGAATCATGATTTACGTTTGGTCTACAATCAATATTATGAGTTGAAGTTGAAGGGAATCGAATCTATATCGTTTTGGAATCAGCATATTTCATTCGTTATTTCGAAAAGCTAAATATGATGGTGTAGCCGTGACGTATTAGTCCCGCACTGTAGCTATCTCTCTCTGATACCTCGTCGTTCTGTAGTGTTGTAGTGTGATTGGTGAGTTCAAGGACGATAGGCGTGTTGGGACTAAGACGTCGCACCAGTCACACCAATGAATTGACAAAATTTCAAATGGCACAGGAATTGTGAGTTTTGAAATGAGCATATTCTAATTTATTTTTTTCATCGTCTTAGGATGAATGAAAAAATTCAAAATTAATTCACTGGTAGTTTTTCAGTATAGAGTTCACGATAATGTCGTTTCAAAAAATCAGTGGTCTCCCCCATTCTCGATTGGAATAACATCATTGATTACACTTCTCTTCACCGCATTTCGAAGCAACATCCTTCGCAAATAATCAGTTCTACCAACCTTGTTTGATCTCGATTTCTGTGAAATATTCCAGTCTAGTTCAGGCTATGAAAATATGACGGATATCGTGGATACATGAATAATATGAATTCTTCAGAAAACCTTCAAGTTCAACCGAATACAGACCTGTCCCTAGAAACATACCTACAATCTATATTTCAATACCTATTTTTAGCTATCAGCAAATCCATTTTTGAACTACTGGAAGCTCATGATTCATGCATAAAATGTCGTTTCGATAGTGCCGTTATTTCCATAAATAATATGCATATACTGACATGCTATCCAACTCGTTATTTATTTTGTTCAATCATGTTCTGATGGGACTTGAATGTATCTGTGACTCATCATTAATATATATGACATTATCGATAAGGGTTTCGGTTATAGCTCTTCAAAGAAGAATAGTTAGATGCGAAATTGGAGGAAATTTAACAGTGGATCCATCAAGATGCGAATCCGATCAGAAACCTGTAGATAAACAGGAGTGTTTCAATGAAAAATGCGTAGGCAAGTGGAAACTAGGACGCTGGTCTGAGGTAAGGAGCAATGAAACATTGAAATTTTTTTGATGAGTATTATTATCAGGGGTCAGGGTCAAACTCAAGTCTGCGCTATTGCTAACTTGCTTATCATTGAAGCTACAAAATTAGTTAAATAAACAAACTAGTAGTATTTGCTCTGCTGATTACGATGACAAAAACTGAACAAAAATCTTTGACATCGCGTTCTTACGAGTTACCTCAAGATGTTCAGTTCTCAAGTGGACCCCCCTGTATTATCCTTAATGATCGGTTAGGAATATAACCTCAACAATACCAATACGCAGAAACTTCTCCTTCACACTCATGGAACATGTTGAGAAATCAATCCTTTATATCTCTGTAGCCGTTGGAGATAATACCATCGAACTTGGTATCATTGGATTGGTCATCATGAACACCAACCAATTATGAAATGAAGTACAGGGTCGTGTTCCATCCGGAAATCGAGAGTTAATGTTCATAAGGCTTCCAGGTTTCAACTTTGAAATATAACAATTTCAGAAAAATGTATCCGCCGCCTTGGAATCAACCTGTCCGAGCATCTTTTTATTGATTGCATCACAACAGAGAAAACTTCGGTGAAACGTTTCAGATGGGCCACACCTTGTATAGACAGATTGAAACCGCTCATGAATTCATTAGCAACGCTTCATTTCAATCTAGTTTTCTTTTTTCGATTCAATCGGTAACAGCTCCTAATTCAAATTGATTTGCCTAGATATTATCATAACACCTCGAAGTTCATAATCCATAATTGTCTATTTGTTACGTTCGAGTTATTAAAATATTTGTAGCAGGACTTGAACAGCTCAAACAAGATAGTTTTTGGGATGGAAACCTCATGTGACGAACGTAGGAGCCCTGTTTCTGATAGAGGCGGTGTGATATATTTGATAGATTGACTGTCGCGGCTGACAGCTCATACACATACACATAATTTTTTCTCCAAATGTTATGGAATCCATTTGGTGCAGATTTTTTGTCAAAAAGTCCATCACTTTTTGCTCACTCAATGTCATTGTCGACTTTTGATTACCAAATTTATTAGAATTTCTAAGAACGTTGCATCGCAACAAACTTTTCCTGCCTAGGCAGTGAACGTACACCTCTAATGCCTGTTAAGTGTCAGAAAAAAAGGCACTTTCCCTGTCGCTTGGAGAAAAATATAATTATTGGATCTTTGGTGATATCAGGAAGTGATATGTTCAGGAACAGTTTGGTTTTCAAAATAAAAAAAACACCAATGATGCTATTTTCAATTTTCTCGAGAGAGTATACTTGAGCTTGAATGAAAAAGAGGCGGCTGCAGCAGTGTTTCTTGACCTTTCTAAGGCATTTGACTGCGTGAGTCATGAAATTCTGTTGCAGAAGCTTTTTCATTACGGTATTCGTGGTACAGCTCTAAACTGGTTCAGATCTTATCTCACTGATAGGAATCAAAGAGTATCATTGTTAAAAAAGACTTCGGATAAAGGTAATATTATACGGGGGGTCCCTCAGGGGTCAGTTCTTGGTCCGATTCTCTTCTTGATTTATATCAACGATATGGTCAGTCTAGATATTTCTGGACACCTAACTTTATTTGCAGATGATACCACGATTCTCTGGCATAACGAAGATCGAGCTAGTCTGGCTCAGTCAATTTCAGTGGACGTTGAAAAAATTAAAATTTGGTGTGAAGCTAATATGCTAACTCTGAATGTTTCTAAAACAAACTTAGTGACATTTAAGTCAGAAATTGAACAAATTGCTCTAGGAGATCAACTCATTGAGAGCAAGTCTGTCACGAAATTTCTTGGTGTTCACATAGATAACAATTTGAAGTTTGACCATCATATATCAGCTCTTAAGAAAAAAATATCAGCTGGCTGCTTCGCAGTCAATGTGATATCCCGTGAACTTGGATTGCAAGCTTCAATATCAGCATACTACTCACTTATTGAATCGCATCTACGGTATGGAATTTCATTCTGGGGGTGTAGCTGTCATGGTCTCTTAAATAGTGTTTTCGTCCTTCAAAAACGAGCTCTGAGATTTGTATTCAAACTCAAGCCGCGTGACTCATGCAGGCCAATGTTTCACAAATATAAGATATTGACGGTCTTTGAAATTTTCGTTTTAGAAACAGTCTGTTTGCTTCACAAATATAGAAGAAATTTCATGAACACAAACATAGACAAGATTACGCGTAATAAAAGGAACCTTGCTCTTCCTCTGCCTAGTTCATCTTTAACGAGACAATCCTTAATTTATAGGAGTAAAAAGATTTACAATCATTTACCAGAATGTACAGCTATGATCAATGATTTGAAACAATTCCGTAGATCTGTCAAAGATATGTTAGTGGGAAAAGGCTTGTACAGTTTGGATGAATACTTTGCCTACAAATTCTAGTCTTTCTATGATATGTGAGAATAATTAGAGATTCATATCATTGATTTTAAAGATAATTGTTGTTTGTGATAATAATGAAACTTGTCTATGTTATTTTATTTTATATATTTTTGTTCTGTATTATTTTTATATATTCCTGTTCTGTTGTATTTATTTATAATCTTGCAATCGATATATCGCAAGATACTGACTTTGTCGACAAAATGTGCTCATTTTAGACAATAAAGCTTATCTATCTATCTGGTTGAACATGAGAGCGGAGTAAAGAGTTCTATAAGTACCTATCTAAAATACTTGTGATGCCTATCTGTAGCTATCACTCAACATTTACTCGAGGTTTCTTGAATACAATTACAGAGAATGGTCTTTGGATACAGTCAAACTTTTACAGAGGATGGTTTGTTCATTACCAAATCCATGGTGAGATATGATGACTCACTCAGAACCGACATCAAATCTTGATTTTCGCTTTCAGTTGGAGCTTTTGGGAACACTGTTGTAGAATTCTCAGATGATATACTAGCATTGTCTTCATATGATGAATTCATTGTTTCTGGTCCATCAGGAATAGATACTTAAAGCTCTTCGAGGCGAGTTAGAGCAGTCTGATCAAAATACAATCCGATTCTCTTTATGGGTGATTTGTGATACCTTCGATGAGATACTTTATATTTCCCAGCCTAATGAAATCATCCTCTTCAGGTTCCAGCATAATGAAACATGCAGTGCAGCGAAGTAATTGAAATGTGAATTCTGTAAACAGTTATTGGATTGTACATTTTAAATAAGTTTATATTGGCACACATCCTTCCAGTCTCTTTGTGCAGTGAGAGAAGTGTTTTGATGATGATGAGCTTGAAGTAATTTGATGCAGTGAAATACGGTATCAATTCAAACCATGAACTAAGACAATTAAATTTGACAAAGAATGTGAAAACATCATATCATGAGAAACTTCCCTATCTCATATTTGTGCAGTCAAATCCTTTCCTAAGAACTGAAATCAGACATATACATATAGTGCAAAAGAATGAGCAGCATATTTATTCACCGATATCATTCCAATGTTCCATTCATCTTCAGATTTTCCGAAATTTATCATCGATAATTTTTATAATCAATCATGAGAACTTTTTCATTTGGCAAACATATGAAAACGAATCTATTCAGAAAATCACTAATCCGTGGGCACAAATTCTATCTGACCTGAGATAATGCAGTCCAGAGACAATTCCAAAAGAAACAGAGTGCAAGAAATGATTCGTACGGAGACAAGTTGACAGGAAATTTTCGCCAGAAAGCTCCGCTCACGGCCGATCCAGCCAAATAACTTCATTGAAATATCGTATCACTATCGACTGCAACAGTAGATACCTTTACATTATTGTTCTCGATAAATCAGTTCGGAAAAGAAGGAATAAGCAATCCTCACCACATGGATCATATCTTGTTGATAGATTTGTTGTAAAATATCCTTGAAATGCACAATGCTCCATTTCGGTCAGATTGAATTCTTGCATCTGGTATATGAATGTTACTGCTTATGTTCATGGAAGGAATAGTGGCAAGTATTCACTAAAACTGGAATTATATATAATTTTCCTGATCAAAATAATTCATCTCCACGATGAAATCATTCGGAATGCAATACTGTTCCGTTTAAATAATCCAATAATTCAAAACAGTTCGTCTATCTATATACGAACAAAAAAATGTTGTTTTTATCACTGGCGGCATTATCGCAGAACCTAGCTGCCTACCGAAAAACTATGAATTTCGAAGTTTGTCACCTGATAATCAACTTTTCGTGACGGATTACCTGTATTATATGTTACCCCAATATTGGGAGAAAATATGTGCTTCGACATTTTCTACACTTTGTGGGTGTCCCCTAGTTGGATTACCATCTTTAGCCAACTATCAGGATTTGAAGGGCGGCATTTGCGCACATCAGTATCTAGATCCTATATACCGGCCAGCTTCCAGATTTCCAGGAATTTCGATATGCTCTTTATGGGCTCGATTTTGTTCGGCTTGCATCTGGATTGAACCTTCCGTCTCAATTATCTACATTTCATTCAACACGCTTTTGAAAAAAGTCAATTTTTCTCTCAGCTTTTCGAAAGTCAAAAGTGCACAGATAGTTTGTTTATATTCAGCCTAGTAATGATAATCAGTACTGTTGATTTGATAGAATACCAGATTGCTATTGGTTGAAACAACGGAAACGGCGTCAATTATTCAGAATTGGTAAATAAAGAGTGTTTCCGAAATGTAATTGTTTTCTACAAGTACCTCAATCATTTGTGACAAAAATATCTTAGAACTTGATGGATACCTTGTCTATGAGATTCTCTAAGCTGTTTAAGTCCTGCTACAGAAAACTCACTCACCCTGTTTCATATCATTGTTTCTAAGTTCATTACGCTGTCGTCGAAACTTCCTCTCAAGTTTCTCATGAGGTTCTTCAAAACCAGTATGTTCAGAGGTTTGACAACTATACTCAAATATCACACCCAGTAAACACAAACATCCTTGGGATGTCACATCCATATTTTGCTAGGTTGCAATGTAACGAATTACAATAAAAAATCATCGGTATTGCCAGGGAACGCCTTATTTCACAAAACATTCGCAATATTTTCCACATTTCATTGGATTTGAGGCTTGAAATGTAGGTGAATAAGTGAGGTTCCCTAACCACCAAGAGAATCACTAGAACGTCACATTCTTGTCCATATTTATATAAGAAAAAGAGTCAATATCTTTTAATGTTGACTGGGGAGGCCCTTCAATACGTACTGTGAATTCATTCCATGATGTGAATCATAAAATGACCAAAAGGGTCCGGAATAGCAGTTATTGTGATTTCAGTGAGACTCTCAATTCGAGTCACATGATATGTGATGTGTGGCATGAATGTGATGCCCTCTTATATCTTTGAGACCAAACTCTGTTAACTGGGCACAACAAGTACCAACAGGTGCTGTGAAAATTGAGTTTTGGTCATGTACATTCATTAACTCCCGATGATACACTGCTAACGTATAACACGAGCATCTCTGTTATAGTACAGATTATTTTATTGTTGAAGATAAATCAAAACTTGAATTTTCAGTGTGACACAACCTGCGAAATGAAGGGATTGAAATACAGGATAATCCAATGTGTCTGGTATGGTACGAAAAAAGCTGCTGGTACGGCTTGTAAAGGTATTCCTCGACCACCAGTTATGAAGCCATGTATGGGACCAACTTGTAATCCAACAACAGGTTTGTAATGAGAATTTATTTGTCTGGAACTGGAGTACCTGAGTTCGGGAAATATAAAATAGGTTTTGTTACATAAGTGGATGTATAGCATGATCTCGGGCTCAATTTGAGCAGTATCCTCATGATGATCTCCATCAGAAATTCTGAATTCAAAGAAAGCGAAAATGGCTCTTTTTTGATATACAGCAAGAGCACGAGCTCAATTCTAGCAATGTTCCTATGATCATCTCCATGAAGAATCTAAGGTGTAGAAGTGCTCTTTTTCCAAGGTCACTGATTTTCTATCAGACTAACCGTTAGTGACAAATTTACGATTGGGGCACTATTCAATCGATGATTCATAATTCAATGAATATATCTGTATATCCAAATCAACGAATGATGAATATTATCATATACTACTAGTTATATTTTTTATCTCACCATCTCCTCTTCCTTAGTAGGTGGAGTAAGGAATCCTTACTTCACCTACAAAACATATTCAATACTCTGTGGTGAAGTGGCCTTGAAAGGAGAGCCAATAAAAAATGTGCTATTTCCTACCTAAGATTCTCTCATTGAGATCAACAAGAGAAAACTGCCCTAATCAAGTCCCTGCTCTTGCTGAACGAAAAAATTTGGTTTTTCTGTTTTTTACCTTAGATTTTCTCATGAAGATTCACATGGGAAAACTGCACAAATTGAGCCCGTGCTGTTCTGTATACATATATTCATCGCACGTTATTCGAAAGTAAATGTGATTGACGACATTCATGTGAGTACTGATTGATCTGAGTAGACAGTATTTTCATTATTCAGATTGATGATTGTCTCATTAGTTGAGCGCATTTTGAGCCTCTTCTCTCTCTCTCTCTCTCTCTCTCTCTCTCTCTCTCTCCATATATATTTGGTTGCCTCATCAATTCCAGAGTATTCCATCGTTCTCCGTACCGTTCCATATCTTAGATTATCAGGAAAAGAATAGATACAATGAACAAAAAATCAAGAGAACCTCGCCAAGTGAAGAACATCTACTAATGAGAAAGTTAAATAACAATTATGAAAATACTGTTCTGTGTACCTTTATAACTTTTGCGCTACCTTCATTTCTTGCTTTGAAAATGTCTTTATCAGAGATCCTGAACTATAAATCCAATCGTTTGTCAGTGGCTTGTTTTGAAAATAATATATAGATGAGTATATTGGGAATATATCAAATTTTCACTCATCTTTGGACGTTTTGGGACGGATCTGCTGCCTTTTCAACACAAAAACGCAGAAATATTATTCTTGGAAAATTGTCTTCATATAGTGTGATACTTCTCAGTGACATACAAAAGGCAATGCTATTGTCTCTGTTCACATAGAACATTGTATTCACTACTGAAACCTGAACAAGAAAATGATAGATTCAAGATCAATTGATTGATGAAAACATTCTGTAACTCATTTGTATTTCGACATCACTATCGTATATGCCAACATCATCAGTCTGTCCCTAAGAAGTGTCACACATTCGAAGAAAATTTTTGAAAAGTATTATTTTCACCCTTCTATGTTGAAAACGGGAGCAGATTCGTTCTCGAAATGTCCAAAGATAAGTAAAAAATATATATCTCTTCGATATATCCATATATGTATATTTCTTTTATTCATACACTTTTCAAAACAGAGTGCCACTGAAAAACGATTGTATAGTTATGTTTCAGGATCTCTGAGAGAAAGGAATTCAAATGCAGTGGCATTTTGGGGCAAATCATTTATTGGTTTGTCCTACTTCACTTATATTGAAATACTACATATATACATTCATTTTATAGGAACGTGGAAAAAAAATCTCAGATAATCAGGCAGAATGAATGAACCATACCTTCTCGATCAACCTACAGACACTATTATATCACGTTCAAAATTCATATTCTTCGTGGCTTTGATTCCGAGAATGCAATCATATCTTTTTTCAGAGTCAAGCTGCAAGGACCATTCCATGTTCTGTCCAAATGTCAAAGCGATGAACATGTGTAGGATCATGAGGTATAAACAACAGTGTTGCCAAGCGTGTGCAGGATGAAGAAGTGGAAAGAATTATAGAGACTCCAATAAGTATTATCCGTGAAATTGTTGAATTTTGAGAGAGTGAATATTTATGTGATGAAAGACAGATTATTATTTTATTGATATGTTTAAACATAAAGTGCAGCTTTGAAGATGTAGTTGAATATTAAGACACAAAATATTTTCTTCACTACTCTAGTAGTGGTATATCTCACACTGTAGAGTGTTGCTGTTGGATTTGAGAGAGAACACATGTTTTGAGTTGCGAAACATAACCTCCTAACTTCATGCACTTCTTTATGTTGGGTTGCGCAATAACTTTCAACAACTCGAGTTCAACTCATCAAGGATTACCTATGGCAATGAATTCTCCACGCTCTCATGAAACAGAGTAAAGAACATAATATTATTTCTATACTTTATTATAATCCGCACTCATTGCAGCAACGCCAGTCCATAATGAGAATACAATACACTCGCTCAATTTACATAATTTCAATACTGGCCCAATGAAACAATAATGTTCTTATTAATTATTATCAGATGAAACATGAAGAGAATATCATTCAATACTCACATCTGACAATGACTTTTTATTTTTAAATTTCAAATTTGAACAAAATCATGAATGAGAAGGAAACTTGACTCTCTTAACAATATGTCGAGTGGAGATTATATAACTGAGTCCTCATTCAAAATGCATCACGTGATACATTTTGAACGACTTCATCACATTCGCTGACAAAAAATCTCAGAATTATCAGCGGGACTCTTCGGGTCTCGACATTAGGAGAACACATTTTTGGAAGCATAGATGACAATGCCAATGAATACAGTAGGCTGATGTCATAGATACTATATTGCTTCAAACTTTTTCTGCAACATTTGAAAATTTCCCACAGAATTACACAAATCGCTATACATATCACGTGATGGCATTGCTTTGAGGGATCTCGGCACTTAAAAGCATGCTGTGCTCCATTCCATCGTTTACTCTATCTATCATAGAATTCGATGAATTGATGTCAGATTCAATTGATTATATCAAGAGTTAGTCTGACAAAACAATTGAAAAGTGGGCCCACCATAACAATTTAAAGCATCTCACGCGTGCCTACTAAACAAATCAGTTTTTCTTTATTCAGGTATTTCTTCATGCTTTATCATCATTCTCCTAGCTCAAGAACGTGTTATTTCTCATTCCAGGAAGTATTAGAATGATAAATATTCTTCAGGAAAGTAGTGAAGGAACTATTTTATATACCACGGTATGAATTTCTATATTCGCGCATTGAATGCTCATTTTCCTTGATGTTGAATCATCTTGAGGAACAATACAAGGCATACAATATGGTCTCCTGTGCTTCAATGTACAGGGATTGTATGAATAATCGTAGCATCGTGATGGCCGTTGAAATAGTGCAGCTCTCTGCATTCCTTACAGGCATTGCAGCGACCGAATGAGTTATAGCCTGATCTCCTTAAGTGGAAAGCGTTCAATCAATATAATCTTTCAACGATCATTACTATATGATAGGATTATTTATAGAAACCCTGAAAAGTTGAGATACCATGATGATATCGATCCTGAATATTCATTATAACAAACCTTATTGCTTTCCAAAGTTGATATGAGAAGACATTGCAAATTCACCTATAGGGGGTCAGCTACTCTGATAATTGTCCTTGTCAGAATACGAACCTATTGGATATTTTGGATATTATCATGGTATTTTGGGTATTTCCTTGTATTTAGAGGTGTGTGAACGATGAGAACAGCAATAGTTAATCTTAATACATTATTCGAATAATCATCACTGATGCAAACACTTTCACAGTCAATTGCAACATGGTATTTTTGAATTGATTATTGGAATTTTCCATCAACAATACCCAATGACTAACATCATAATGTATGTTGACGTTTACTCACTCGTATTGAGTAATCGATATCTTATAAATATCTGTCTTGAAATCCGTTGATCACACCCAATGTTGCTATTGTGGAAGTTTCGCATAAAAGACTGAATTTCATTATTTTTATGATTTATAGTGTATATTATTCGATTGATAGTTTTAGTTCACAAAATCGTAAGATTTAGTTGTAATGATTATTTCTAGTTCTTTTGATATAACCATATTGGCGAGGACGAGTAGATATATACATATGGATAATATTATTTATATCTCAATTCATGCATTGGTACTCCTGAGAATGATAAAATCACTGGAATCATAATTTTTATCTCAAATTCCCATGCAGTCTTTCATCCCATTATTATTATTTCAGATATATCCATTGAATATCTGCTGAAGTTTCTATCTATTGTTACTTTTGGTCGGATCGTTATCACTATCATAATCGAGAACATGATGATTGAGTAGATTATATTATTGCCCATAATTATGTTGATGAATCATGGAATTCGTAATGAATCAACAAGTGTGAGACGTATAAGTATTCATACAGGCTGACTGACAAAAATTTTCCCATTCACCATCCGATTTAGAAAAAAACAAATGGCATCATATACTACCAGGTGGCACTAACTTTTTTCCCAATTCCAACACGACAGCGATTGTCAACTATTTTTCCCGAATGGCATCATATATTTTTCATATTTCAGCTTCAAAAAATGAACACTGTCTCGAACATTATATCGTCAGGTGGAAAAATCATTGCACATTCCCGATGTGAATACCGTCACATTAATAGATACGTGCTTTTCATCTTATTAATTCGCAAGTATCGTGTAGCTTCAGTCATCTTTAACTGCTTCAACATGCAGCCCCATTTTCACGAGATTTGATCAATAGTCAAACAATACATCTTCAAAAAATTCCGAATATACAGGTATATCAATTCAATCTATGATCAATCTGAAACATAGTTGTTCAACAGGTTCTAAGATTTCGTGGTTTATTGGAATTCCTCAAATGCCAAATGCTCATTTCTCTTGAACATCATTTGGATCGTCAGGAATGATAGTACCTGATGAGATGAAAAATCATGTATTTACTTGTCATCATCATTACAATTTATGTACATACATTCTGAAAATTATGAGTTAATAATGTGTACGTTCAATTCGTTTCTTTCTAATTCCAGTATTCATTTTAGGGAAAATACGAGATGGTTCGTTATGGGTGCACACATCTTTAGCTAGTTGATATATGAGTAGTTGGTACTGAATGTTTCAGGTCTTCCTCATGTATTATCAGGCTATTTATGACAGATGAAAATGAACACAGTATCCATTTGGAATGTGTGCAACCATATTAGATAACTTCAGGAATAGTAAGAATTCTCGATCGCGGTAATGAATGTGTATCCTTACAGATTCGGAGTGAAAACTGGAGAACCTCTTCTCCATGACTTACACCAACTCCATTATCAAACTTTTCAATAGCATTCAGTCTTCATCAATGAATGCACATCAGAATCGTTGTCCAAAATGTTTTCTCATGATTCCAAATACTTATTAATTAATATGACATGATTCAGATTATGATGTGTGTTAATGAATGATGATAAAAAGGAAGGAATTACGATACAAAAAACAAATCTGAAATAACATTCAAAAATATTCATAGATCAACTGGTTGACACAGCAATCAGCGAAATTCTTGTTCGCAGTCTAAGCAGTATCTCCAGGGTTTTTAGTTAGTACTTGTACAACCTTGAAAGGTTTATCTGTGACTAATTCCAAGATAAAAAGTTCATGAGAACATGGATCCGCAACGGCTTGATTTTTGAAATACAGGGCGTCCAAACCAAAGAGAATAAGGTAGGAACTGGTGTTCTTCTTGAATTCCTTGAGGTTATATGCAGGGGTATTGATGACGATCGAGAAACTCATTATTGATTTGATTTCCTGTTGAATGTTAGAAGGCGCCACATCATAGTTTTGTATATTATCTGTGACTAAGGTAACCTATTACCAATTTAATTTCAGGTGCAAACGATACTCTCTTTGTATTTGTCGTTTGAAGCAGCCGTTTTTGATATGAACTGGTTTGAAGATGAAGTTGCGTTGGAATTTTTATTAAATTATCTAAAAAAATGTATATCCAATTGCTCGTATCTCAGATGACATATTCAGATCATTTACAAGACTGAGACTGGACCAGTTCAGAACATTTACAATAAATGCTGAGAATGACCACCGCCTGCTTGAAATAAATAGATATGTATATTTTTGAGTGCTCTTTAGGTATATCAAAAACGCAAAAATTGCGACACATGTTCATATGGACTTTCTATCTCGAAATCAGTCGAAGATCAACCCTTTGAACTTTGTACATATACTCAATAAACACCCTGTAGGTATACGACCCATAGTGCTGATGAATGTTTTTCTTTTATTGTTACAGTTATTATCCGATTGAATTTGTGATTGTTCATCTCGCATAATCAGTTGCTCCCCAACCTGTTCCCCAACTGCTCAAATTGAAGTAATAATTCTTAAAAATTCAGGGTATATAGTCATTTTTTCTGCTGGCAAGTTCATGCATTTTGTGGGATAATACACTATGTTGAATAGATAAATATAATGTTTTTTCTGTGACGGGAAAAAAGTTTGGAATTTATCTCTCTCGACAGGTTATTGAATGTTCCTTTTCACAAATCACGGGAAAAAATTTGTTATTTTTTTTCGGATATATGTCACATATTTATGGAATGTTTATTTTTCTTGTTGTGCTTTATTTTCAAAAAATTAGGCAATAACACCTTCTCCGAGAAAGAACTGCAAGTCCTCTTGATCTCCATTCGACTCCGCGGTTCCGTGAATTACCAGACAACTACTGAATTTGCAATATTTTGATAATCAAATCACAATATTAGGATAACAGATATTTGATTACTTGGAAAGAATGATATTTCTGCAAAAAGATACCTGCAACGCAGGTGTCATTCCTGTTAAAAACTTCAAATTTCATTTGGACATTTTTCTGATTTCAATATAATGTTATATCTGCGCAATTCATTCATTCATTCGTCATTCTTCCTGTCACAGAAGAAAAAGTAAATCATACACGAAAAAGAATATTAAATTTTAGCTCACGGTTTTTCGTCAACCTACGCCACGCGTCGAGAGTCAACAAAAACTGAAGCAAAAGTCTATTACTCTTTCCTCTTGATGTATAATAAATAACTATTTTTTCATAAACCTACTTATATAAATGATTGTGATCGGATCTGAAGTGATTTCTATCTAAACATGAGTTAAATAAGTACTGAAGTGAGTGAGATACATATGATTTTTCATTAACACTCTCCCAATCGTCCCTCATTAGCCTACATTACTCCCAATCCAGATTTGTTATTAGTATTTGCATTGTGCGTCCTAGAAATTTAAAATTTTCATGAGTTACCTGGAAGTGTTACGTAGAAACGAAATGAATAGACTCGAGTTGAAAGCTGAATCTGATGGGGATATACCGGGTGGCTACGGAAGTATTGCCTACGGAATATCTCAGTTATTGTATGAAGTAGGTTTGTGAAATTTGGAGCGTCGATATAATGACAAGAGCTAGAATTTGAGCATATTGACATGTCGAAGTTAACTTCCAGTCTGACTGGAAGTAACATCAACTTTCTTATTTTGAATGAAAACCCAATTTTTTTGTTCTTTTCGCTTTATTCAGCATTCAATTCCCTTTCTAATGACATATCACAAGTTGGTATCTAACCAGAAACTAGATCAGAAAAAAAATATTATTGAAATTCACCGAGTAGGCCGTGGAAGCAAAATGAAAGCCAAAAATTGAAAAGTTGGCTATGGAAACCATACGTCACTTGATAACAGTTGCTACTGCTGTGATATTTTAATTTCATTTGTCGGCGT